GCATCATAGTGCCTTATTTTTCCCTAGCATGGATTGTGAGTGTTTTGGGGGTTTTTTGAGGGAGGAGGCAGGGTTATGTCTTCCTCTGTAATTGGGTCATGGTCCTTTCCCTAGTGCTGTTGTGCATTATTAACTATGTCCTTGTTGGTGCAGTGGCCAGTGAACTTGTTGTCCCTGATTTTACCCATGGCATTTTACACAGAGTTTGTGTTGTTTCAGAATTTGGATGAGGATTAGAAGTAACAATTTTGAGGACTTCTTCAGTTAATGACTGCCTGTGAATACAGAGTTATATAATTAATGACCCAGGAAGCCATTCCCAGTCTCCTGAGATGAAGTCCTACAGTGGAATCCAAAACCCTATGTTAAGTGTCTAGGCCTCCAACAGAGCAGGTGAGAAAAGGATCAGTTCTTCAGAGTGGGATCCAAATTAACCTGTATTTTGAATCACTGATTCCTAGCTAATAGAAATCCTAAGGAGAAAACTGTGGCTTACACTTTGCCCCTCCCTAGCACTCAGGTGCTTTACTCAGGGCTGCAAAGACATGACCCCTTCCATGTAGGATGTACAGGTTTGAACCTACCCCTGAAGTTAGACACCTACAACCTGTCCTTTGAAAGTGAAGTGGGGGTGTCTCCTTTCTTTAAATACACTGGCAAAGGAGCAAGTGCTGCTCCCCAGTGCCATAGCAAGGGGGATGGCAAGCGGGGTGACTGCCCCAGGTGCCAAAGCAAAAGGGCACGAACAGGCACTGCCCAGCTGGGTTGGGGTGTGGGAAGGAGCCACAAGCATCTTGTTGGGGGGGGACATAGGGATGAGGGAAGGGCAGCTCTCACCACTGTATGCCCTACCAGGGAAGCATGGGGGGGGGTGATGTGGCCCCCAGATCTGTGAATAGGGCAATGGTGGGCTGCCACTGCAGGTTTTGCCCTGGGTGCCAAACTTCATTGCTATGGCAGTGCTGCCACCTGATAAATCACCTAATTGTATAGCACTTACAGGAGACTTCAATTCCCTCTTCTTCCTAAGGAGTTTTGAAACCCACATATGTCATGGTCTAAGAGTATGCTCTGCCCACCAGACTAGAAATTGTTTGAGGGCATGTGGGAATTCCTACCCTGTTGAAGCTTTTCCATTCTCTCAAAAGAGTTCAAGATTCACTGGAAGAGAGAGAGCACAAGAGGAAGCAAGGCTGTTGCTTAGTGGTTAGTGCAGTCACCAGGAAGAGGAGGTTCTCACTATTAGAGGCAAGTAAAGGTGGTCTCACTGGAGATGAAGTCCTTCCTCATTCCCAAATTTAAATAATATTTCATTGTTTGATCCATATTTCAATGGCAAACTATAATGGACATTTCAGTTTTCTTTGTCTGCCTACTTTCATTGTTTGTCCTCACTGTGGCTCTCAAGTGCATAAATATTAGAGAATTTAAGGAGCTTAGAAATATAGTCAGAATGGGTTATCCAAGGACTGCATGCATTGACCAGGCAACCCTGGGGAATTTACACTGCCTGACTGCATAATTAGACGTATCAGCTCTGTTTAACATAATCATAGGAGCAACTTCACATCAAACCCAAGGAGTCTTTTTTGTAGTAACTAAGTTATAGAGACCCCTATAACACCATTTTCTTTATGAACTAACTTTCTAAAATAAACTCCTACCCTCTTAGGAAGTTTTTTCTCCCATCATGATCTCAGACAGCTGGCCATTTAAATTTGGCAGACCCACAAAGCTGAAGACCTAAAATGGCTTTCCTCTCCTCCCCCCTAACCCCCCAGTGGTATCTTTTTGCTTTACTCTCTACATGGCCTTCTTTGACCTCACAAAATCCTTCAACTTCGTCAGGGGAGAAGCACTGTGGAGAATCCTTCTAAAGTACAGATACCCACCAAAATTCATCATCATTCTTTGCTTGCTTCATAACAGTATGCAAGTGATGGTTCTCAGTAACGGCTCTATCACAGATCCCTTTGAGGATAAAATGAGAGTTAAGCAAGGCTGCATTATCATTCCAACACTCTTCTCAATATATTTTATTGCGATGCTGCATCTGACCACTAACAAGCTTGTAGTTGAAGTGGAGCTAAACTACTAAATTGAAGGTGAGCTGTTTAATCTTGGCTGACTCCAAGCCAAAACCAAGACTAACCTGATCTCAGTCATGAAGCTCCAGTATGGTGATGATGCCATAGTCCGTGATTACTCAAAAGCAGACCTTCAGCAATCATTGATGTCTTTACAGAGGCATAAAAGAAAATAGGATGAAAGCTTAACATTTAGAAGACTAAGGTCCTCCATCAACAAGCTTTTAATCAGCATTTCCCAGGTCTGGTAATTCAGATTCATGGTGAGACTCTGGAGAATGTTGAGTATTGGAAGTAGAAGAAAGCAGAAGGATGACAGCTGACTTCAACAAAGAAATCCAGCATTGCCTCAAATGTTTCATAGTTTCATAGTTTCATAGATTTAGGGTCGGAAGGGACCTAGTAGATCTTCTAGCCCGACCCCCCGCCAGGGCGGGAGGACAACAAAACCCCAAAACAAGAAATGGGACTCAAATGAGTCCAGCCAGGTAGGCATCCAGCCTCTTCTTAAAGACCCCCAGGGTAGGGGCCAGCACCACTTCCCTTGGAAGTTGGTTCCAGCTCCTAGCCGCCCTAACTGTGAAGTAGTT